CTAATACTGAGCCTTGAGGTAAACCGTATGATATAATATGGGGTTCACTGAATGTGTTAATAATTTTGACGCACTGTGTTCGATTTGACAAATAATTTTGTATAAGTTTGTATGTTATTCCCCGGAAACCTAAGTTTTCTAAAGTTTTTAAAAGCGATTCATGAGTAATAGAGTCGAATGCCTTTGCCAAGTCAACAAAAACACATGCAGTTGGTTTGCCAATATCGAGATTCGTATATATTTTACTTGTCAATTTTACAATAGCATCTTGAGCAGATTTGCCTTCTTGAAAACCATATTGCTGTTCCGCTATTAAGTTATATTTTTTTGCAAATTCGGTGAATCGTTTTTGTAACACTTTTTCAAATATTTTAGAAAAATTTGTTAAGATGGAAATTGGTCGATAGTTGATGGGTTTTTCTCTTTCTCCAGATTTAAATAATGGTTTTACCATAGCGTGTTTTAAACATGAAGGGAATATTCCTTTATTCACACAAGAATTTATCAAATATGATAGTATGCCGCAGATGTTGCAAGTTATTCTCTTGAGAGTATATGCTGTTATATTATCTAGACCTGGAGATTTTCTTAATTTCAATTCATTGATTATTGTCTTTATTTCATGCGTATCGGTCGGTTCCATGGAAGAAGAGTTATCTGCCGGTATTGTTTCGATCTGAGTAGTCATTTGTGGTTGATTTTTTTATGCTATCCTAGCGTAGTAGAGAATGTGGTAATGGAATGATCCACCAGACTTTCTGTTACATTGACTGTTATGGAGGATTTCTTAATCCTGAGGTAAATATTCAAAAGGCGTTTTTTTGGACTAATACAATTTTATTTTGTCTTTTGACGGATTTACAGAAATCCAAAATTATATGCAAAGTTTTTTAATCCAAAACCTTTCGAGATGTACTTTTTCATGTTCTTAATTGCAATAGGGTGATTCCTTTGTAAGTTATATTCTTCAGAACGGTTGCTCGTGAGTTTCAGAGAAACGAAAGAAATAAAGATCTGACAAAATGGATTATTAGTGTAATTCGATAAAAAATGACATTTGTGAATTTAAACGAATTCAGAAATCTATGAGAAGTTCGAAACCTCGCTTTATGTTTGCAGGTGGCCCTCATGAACAGTTTCGTTAATGCAATGTGATTTTTGTTAACAATTTATGCTATTTACGAGATTTTTTTAATTTTGTATTTTTTGTGTTTCGAAAGGACAAAATAAACTTAGAGTAACCCAATTAGCCAGATTTTGCTATATGTTTAGAAACAAATTACATTATATCCCATACCTCTTACGGAGGCGTATAGGGATACATGAGCTGTCAAAGTCTTCAGGCTACAAGCATATAACATTGGTCTATGTTGTCTAACCTTTTAAATGTCGTTTACTACACCCCTGGTGTCCGGGGAAATGGAGAAGCTGAAAAGTTTCAAACAAAATATTCGGCCAAAGTTCACCCGAAAGTGTTCTCCCCAGAGGACAATAATGGGAGGCTATCCGAGTCCTTTACCTTCACTCCCCTTGCATATGCCAGGAAAGTATTGCATTTCAGATAACTAGTTTTTTTAGATTATAACGATTTTCAGCAGTCTGTATATCGATGTATCTGGTGGCAATAGTGTAAGTACGTAATCTAGGAAACAGTTTAATCGATCATTATGAAATTTCTGGAGAAACATGCTTTATTCGTCAGTGCCTGTTAGAGTTAATAGGTTTGTCAGGACTGGTTAACCTGACACTAAATAAAGTTAGAGATACAGAAGGGAATACAACAAAAACAACAAAAGTATGGAAATGGTGATATGCGGTAGATTATTGTAGATAAAGCCGGTTAATTTAAAAAATGTCATGCAGAGATAGTGTGGAGTTATGAGAAAAAAGCAGCTGAAGATCGTCTCAAAAACCGGTTCTGATAATTTTTGGGCGCAATCATTTTTTGTACCTGTTCTTATCCTACTGACTTTGACTATTTAAACCTGCAATTGCCCTTAATATATTCCAACACACTGATAGAAAAATGGTGAATGTGTAAGATATCACCGTATGCACATTCACTAATCCTGATACTATAATTTCCAGTGTCCGACCGACCGAGTTTCGGTTTAGTTTCAGTATCAGCAGAAAATCCAACGAAGCGGAAGCAGTTTGGATGACATGTTGACGCTTTTATCCATTAATTGTTTATATTTTTTGCGCACAAATATTGATTTTTTATTCCATCGCTAAGCACACTCATGTGCAAAACAAACGCAGTATACAAAATTTTAATCGAATTCGGATGGCCATAACCTTTAATTGTTTGATAGCTCTTTTCATTAGAGAATAGGTGGTACAATCTTCAGCTTTAATTTGCATGTTTGGTTTCTTGTTGATAGGTACTTTTTAGCTTGTTATACAGAGCAAATCTAAATGAAGTTTCAATACCCCAACTTTGAGACACTGTGTCGCAATGCTGCCCATTATCAAGAACTTGTCTATGATTTGTTGTTTACTCATGTCAGTATGTGCAGTGGATGAGTTGGAGTAAAATACACTTTTTATCAACAATTTACGTTTTTCCTTCTATAATCTATCCGAATTTCATGTTTTTTCTATGAACGTGTTCAAAAATTTATTGCCTTTAAGTGGTACATCAAAGTTTTTCACATCCTCTGATCTTAGTTTATACACTGAAAATGTTAACTTAGATAAAAGACATTATTTCGTTATTCAATAGAGAGAATGGTATTTAAATATTAAAATTATCCACAGTAAAAGAAAGACTGAGATCCATAAAGTTACGATCAAAATTCCGGTTTCGTTTTTGGTCAAGCTATTAATGGTTTCGGTCTGATAATTCCTGTAAATGCACATATGCACAAAAACTGAAACATAGCATTTTTATCTACTGACCAATTTTGAATCAATCAGTAAATCAATTTTCTCACAACTAAAACAATGGCTACGAAGAGAAGACGTCGTTTAGATGATCCAGATAGTTTTTGCGTTACTTGCGGCGTATATAGCTTTATGAAGTATGTATAGTAAGTCGGTCATGGATTCCATTAAATTCGAGTAGTTTAACTACTTTGGGATGTAAATTTGCCAGGGGTGCCAAATACTATATGTATGTGTGATCTTTCTTTGCGGCAATGGTCCAGTCAAAAAAATCTGCCCTTCAATTCAATATAACCATGATTTGAATAATCGTGATGATTGTTATTTGTATCTAGTAAAATTGCTGGTGTAAACTCTGCAAATCGGGAGAAATAATTATATTAGACGCTGCCTTCTACTCAGTGGTCTTTTACATAATCTCACCGATCACTATTACCACGAACATCGACATTATGATGTGTTTTGAACCTGACAACATGCAAACTGAAAGAGAAAAATGTATATTCAACTCTGAATTCCTGGACTAAGCATCAAAAAGTCGAAAACATGTAGTTTCAATTGGCCTCAAATTAGAGAGAAAACACCTAATCATTGTTCGAATCTATAAAAAAATAAACCAGGAAACTTTTACTGATCCGAAGTTCCATATCAGAAAAGCCAGAATCAGAACTCTATTTACAGTTAGTTAATAATATTGTTGTGTGTGTACTTTGAAACATCTAGTATGTAACATGAAAATCAAACTAAAGGGTGTTCCATCTATTGATTCTTTTTTCAACTACCATTTTGGTCGTCCAAAAATATTACGAAAACGGAAGATCTTTAAAAAGTACTTTTCGCAAACTTTGTGATGAATTTGGTCGACATAATCATCCCACAGAGCGTGGAATTCGGTGGATTATCAATCGTTTTGATGAAACTGGCTTAGTGTGAAAGTGTTAATCAACTTGGATAAGACACCGTTCGCAAGATTTGGACATCAGGCCAACATCATTATGGAGGACTTTGCATGTTGATCTCCACCTACACCCGTACAAGATCCAACTAACTTAACAATTGAAGCCAGCGGACCATCAGCAACGGCGTATTTTTGTTAATTGGATGCTTGAAAAAGAAGAGGGATCTTTTCAGGCGAGGGACATTTTCACCTCAGTGGCCACGTAAACAAAAAAAACCGTAGGATTTGGGATTCAGAAAATCCACACGAGATCAATGAACCACCTCTCCATGATCAACAAGTAACTGTTTGGTGCAAATTATGGGCTGGTAGCATCATTGGACCGTTCTTTTTCGAGGATGAAGAAGAAAAAGCACCGCCGAACGTTATCCTGGATCGTGGTATGATAACGGATTTTTTTAGGCGAAATTGGAAGGTATTGATACCGACAACCTTTGATTCCAGCAAGACGGTGCAACTTCGCACACAGCTCGACAAACAATGCAGTTATTGCCCGAGAAATTTCCAGATTGCATTATTTCGAGAAATTTCGATGTGAATTGGCCTCCAAGATCGTTCTTCTTAACGCCACTGGACTATCTTCTCTGACTAGTAAAGTGTACGCGACTGCCTCACGCACAATTCAAGACCTTAAGCGCAACGTTCGCACCAAAACTGCGGCCGTGGACCCGCTAATACTGCAAAAAATCATCGAAAATTTTGATGTTCGGATGCTAACATGTCAACGGAGCCACGGTGCACATATGTGCGATGTTATAACATATTCCAAAGACTTCGGTTTCTCACTCATAAAAAGTGTGTTTCTTTAGATTAAAAGGGGAATGAACGGATGAAACACCCTATACTTTATTTATTGAATTAAAGATTAAGGTGGGGAGCAAGGATTTTCGCACAAATGGAGGAATGTTACCAAGGCAGAAGGGACACACATATGGCGGCTTATTACTGCCGAAATAATACTTTTGTAACCTTAAAATTTAAATCTAGAGGTGCTAAGAAATAATACTATTATTTTCTTAATCTGCACACTTAATTTAACAGAAAGTAAATAATACACTCGGGAAAATTTTTCAGTGTTGTCCAGTGTAATAAATTGTTCTTATTGTGACGGTGTTCTACTATTCCGTACAGTATATCGACAAATTAACGCACTTACTTTGTAATACTTTGGCAGTATCAGGATTGGCATTCAGTAACGGAGAGGTGCAAAATGATTTGCTGGTTCTCTTTTTCTTATTTTTGGCATTTTTGGCACCTAATTTAAGGTTCTTGTAATCTTCGATCCATTCGGAGTCTTTGCAATCAAACTTTATTTCATTTCTAAGACATTCTTCGTAGTACCTTCGCTTTTCCTTCAAGTTTTCCAGCTGTTTATAAAATTCCTTATTGGACAAATGATTAATTTCATCGTATTCAGGTATGTTGCTGATGAAATCCAGGAATGATTTTGTTGTCTGCTTGTCCACATATCTGTAAGCGTAACAGTCTAGCTAGACTATAGGTAGATAATAATAATGTTTATATGTAAGGTATAACTATTGTGTAACAAACGAAATATTGAGATATATAAATTCCTTTTGAATTTCCTCATGAAATGTATTCTCAAATAATTATTTGAACCAAATTGCATCTACAATTTCATAAATTTCTTTAGGTTCAAAGTGGGTGAAAAGCATTTGTTGAACAATTCCAAATATACATATCAATTGTTGCGATTCTTGTATCCGCAGTTTTATATGTTTTCTGCATTCATAATCACTGATATGTAGTCTATATTCACCAGGCAGAAGATCCGTTGGCATATACTTTCAAACGATCTCTGTCCAATTTGCTTATTCCTTATATGGGTTTGGACTGATATAACTCTACATCTTGTCTCATGGTTATATTATAAATAAATAATATGAATATTAGTATCCTAATACGCTTTGTCGGTTGGATGAAGAATAAACATAGGGTCTATTGAATAAAAAAAGGAATTGACTTGGAAGTAATATCTTATAAGGATAAGTTGATACTTACGAGCACAAGGTATTTCTCATTTTCTATTGAATAAAAATAGGTTTATTATTAAAAGTTAGTACTGAAAAAATCTCCTACATTCAAGTTCTGTCTTATAAGTCTTTACTTATTCCTTATCGTAATTATGAGTATTTACTTGGATATAGGTGTTAACGGTTTAGCTTGCAAGACAAATCACGACAAGTCTGTTTTCTTTTGTTACTGTGTATACATATACAATGTTAGTTGTCGATCAAGATTTAAAGGTATTGCTATAATCATGTCGTCGAGTGAGGAAGAATTACCTGTCCAGATTGGCTATCAGAGACTTCCACTCGCCAGGTTATTAAAAAATCATAGAGTTCTTTGGAATAAATTAATGATTGGGAAACTGGAAAAAATCCTCAATAACATGAAAACAGATTTAAAGAAGAAACTGATAAAAATACGACTGCTAACAATAAACTACGTAAATTCTTGGTAATGCCGAATTATGAAAAAATCTAGAGTTCGTAAAAGTTCCTGGGGGTTGTTCCATTGTAAGTAACAATGGAAAAACAGATACTCCCGAAAATAATGGATCAACTAGTATGAGTATGAGATGTTCCTCTGATAAAAGTATGCGTTGAAGATACCTTAACAAACATTAAGTTGATTCTTACTGATTTTAAGGTATTCTTCTTTTTATTAAACTAAACAGAAGGAAATACTGGAGAAACCTAAGTGAAGTTTCATGTTTCAAGTAATTACTTCAAACTGAATGAGTTAATATTATGAGTAGATTCTTCTTTATGAAATACCTACTGACTTTTTATTCAATGCTTATCAATTAAATACTCAAATAACAGGAAGTATAAGCCAATACTTTTTTTATTCAATAGACCCATTAATTGAACACTTATACACGCAATAATCCGTTTATTGCCCAACAGTGAATACCATTTGCGGAGCATAAAGCAGTAGTATAGCTTACATGTTAGTTACAGCACACAATGAAAATATGTAGAACAACAGAAAAAAAACAGAGACAGAAGTAGTATCACAATTATAAACATAAAAAACTTGACCAAAACCCATCGTCTAGTGATTTATTCTTTACTTCACAAAATCTGCAGTAAAAAAACTGTCATCTCATATACACTTGAAATAAATTTTGCAAGCATTTTGGCACATAAAATTAATCGAAGCCTTTGATAGTATTTAGTTTGTGCTCTTTTGTTATTCTAGGGACCAGAATATCTACCTGAGCTAACAATAGAGGACAATCGATTTTACCATTCAAAAGCTTATGCAAGAATAGTACAGATAACTGATATCTTCACTTTTCTAAATACTGATAAATTGAATCTATGTAGTAAGACAGGATAAGTACAACCTCTTGGAGGCACACACCATGGATTTTAAAAGCTATAATTTCGAAAATCTCTTTTGTCCTTTTCCATTCCACTCCATACGGGTGAGCCGTATTGCAGTTAGGATCTTACTAAACTGAAATTCAGAGACCATAATGCTGAGGCGTCACTGAAATTCATGCAATTTCTAACAATAAAACCGGATGTGGGACAAGCACTCAGCGCTGTTTGGCTTACATAAAAATGAAAGTAAACCGATTATCAAAAGAGACACCTAGATCTCTAATGCAATCAGTTCTTTCGAGTGCTGATTTGTCGGTAATAATATACCGATAAGATATAGACTTGGACTTGGACTATTCTACACTTAGATAAGCTTAAGTGCAGGTTATTTCTAACACACCGGTTCTGTATGAAAGTGATTTGTTCCTGTAAGATAACACAGTCCTCTTCACTGGATACGACACATATATTTTTAAATCATCCGCAAACATTAGCTTATGACAAATAAGTGAATCACACAAAGTATTGACTAGTCGCAGTGAACACTTACGATCTCACATTATTTGCACATACATACTGTTGTCTAACAGATAAATATGATTTTAATAACAAGAAATAATTATTCTGTAAGCCAAGTTAGCAAATTTTCATGAGGGGTATGTTATGACTGAGCTTGTCAAAAGCTTCGGAGAAATCAGCATACATTACATCAACTTGACCCCTGCTGTCTATTGTTTCACACAGCAACTGGCTGAATACCGCTATGTTGCTGATAGTTGATCAAAATTTCGTGAATCCGTGTTGATAAATCGATATATAATGTTTAGCAGACTGTTAGATACGATAATATATGTAATATCATTTCAAGACGCTTAGCAAAATTGTTCCTAACGGATATTCCTCTGTAATTAGTAATGATATTGTGAGCTTGACTTTTAAATATAGAGCATATTTTAGCAACTTTAAACTTGCCAGGAAAAACTGATGTACTCAGAATCAAATGCAATACTTGAAGTGGCGGTGCTAGTCCTGCTATGTAATCTTTACGAAAGAAATATGGACTTATATTTGGTAGGAATTAAAACCATGCTACAGAAGCTTCCGACCAATACGTACCTCTTCTTAGTTGCACTGGTATCTGATTGCAAACTAAGCTTCCTCATTGTATTATTCAAATGATGATCAAACTCTTTTTCATAAAGAGGAAGCGGTTGGTCCAGCTTGGAATCTCTAGGGACTTTGAGGCAGGAGTTATTATAGACTGAGGTAGAGTGGTCATACATTCTTTTTTCGATTTATGCTCATATTTTCGCCCTGTCTGTTACAAATCTAGCGGACTTTCAAGTTCCAAAAACTCATTATTGATAGAAATACAAAGTACGAACGTGAAGCACCAATCTGCATCTACAATAACCTCCGAAGCAGACCATGTTGATTTGCTTAGATTTATTGTAATTCAAGAGAAAGTTACCTAATAGCGTAACTACTTTTTGAGGAAATTTAAATGACCTTTAGAAACAACAAAAAAAAGAAAACACACAATAGGAAACACTGAAAATCACGACTTGTTTTACACCACTTAGCTCACAATCCGTAACACTGAACAATGTTTGGAAAAGCGAATCAGGGTTGCCATGGAAAATGCATATCGATTTATTTCCACGCTTTTCTTCTGCATGCATGAAGGCATGTATCGGGGTGTTAAGTAATTTGTCTTCTTTAAAGGCTTGATACATCCTTTGCTATTGATAATGCGGTGTAAAATATAGATATACGGTTTAGTTGTACTTAGTTTATGCCGGATGTTTGTAAAGGCTAATTGTCGTCCAAACTGTATTGAACGTTAATCGTTCTTTTGTTATAGGTAAAGAAATGTTTACATGAGCGACAATAGTAAAATCGGCGTAGCTAATGATAAAATAAAAAAAATATTATAACGATGGCCTAGTAACAATACCACGTATCATCAAAATTAGAAAAAATTGAGTTTCTGGTATCTGTGGTCCATCTATCACTAAGCTATCAAGTTAAATGATCAGCAGCAATGTAAGGTCATATAACCCTTTTTTGCACGACTATCTGTAATAACAGGTATCAAACATCACTATACAGGTAGCATCAATGCTCTGTTCATTTTCCAAGATTCAGGACCTTTCTATTTATAGTCGTTTTGGTCTAGGTATAGTGTTTTGCTTGAGTTAAACTATCAGGTATCTAAGTAATTCATGGATGGATATTCTATACGTCTTTTGGAATCAAAATTTGTGACTAATTACTCATGATAAAAGTAAACACGTAAACAACAATCCAAGGTTTGATACGTGTTATTTTTGATATTTCGAGGATGAAACCATATTACAAAAATGGGTTTTCGCGTTTCCTGAAAAAGTAGCCAAATGCTCGATACGTGGTTTTGCCACTAGACCATCGATAACATCCTTAAACCCTTTTATGTGTTACTGATTGTTTTTGGAGCAGTCAAAGATATTTATGAAGTTTAATTGGCCGGTCACATTTCACTATATGAAAGGTTTTCTTATATTCGAATCCTCTAAAATTATAGATTCGACGACCTAATATTATTCTTGATCAGCAGCTATCACTTATCCATTTCTTTTCCGTTGTTTAGTTTGGTGATTGAGAACGATATGCTTCCAATGACTACGCGGAATTCTGCAGGACCTGTCTTATGTTCTTTTCTTTTAGTTTGTGTTCTTTAATTCCATAATGCGAATCTATCAATGCGTAATGATGTGAAATACTTGTTTCAGCGTAACTTAATCACTATCAAAAATACTCTTGACTAATATCCAAATCGATATACGGGAACTGAAGCAAGCAGAGCGACCCAAACTATATCTTAATCCGATTCACAACGATCATCAAAGGCTTCTGCACTCCGTTATATAAATCTATCTAATCTTACTAACGGTTGTACTTACTTTGATTAAGCTCGAGGTCATTATAGTCAACATTTGGGATTCGGTACTCTCTCAAAAGAGTTAAAATCGAAAAACGAAAATGTATTCAAACACCACGTGTGTTACTAGACGTTTCTCAAGCTGCTGATTAGTTGAGGGCGTACTCAAAAATTGCCGTAACCATTGAAAAGCAAAACTTTCTGAAAATGTAAATAAATCTGTAGTACTGTATTGTGTAGTATATCTAGTAAAGCGGTAGGTAAGCCCACCGGCACTAGATTCTTCTCTGAGACACTTTTTCCAGTTAACATAGGCACGCTAACTGGGATGACCTACTTGAATACCTTGCTGTCAAGAACGACTTTCTGAACATCAATCACACCGCTTCGGAGGTAGTTCTCCTCGGTGATTTCAATGTCCATAATGAGCTCTGGTTGGGCTCAAACAAGACCGATGCAGCAGGTCGTGATATTGAAGCGTTCGCTTTTACCCAAGGACTGACACAGCTGGTGAGGGGCTCTACTTTTTCCCACGCGTTTCGTCACGCTCCAGTAGTCTCGTTTTTTTTCTGACTACGCATCCTGCCCCTTACAGCACTGGTATCCTGTCTCTCCTAGGTAACTTAGACCACTGTGTTGTGGAGGCCAGCTTTTTGTCAGAACTGGCGTTGACAGCAGAATCTCGCCCAGTCCGCGAAATTTGGCATTAGGGACATGCCGACTGGGAAAACTTTTCTCCGCCTTTCCTTGGAGAGATTGTTGTTCCGATAAACCGAATGCGTCAGCTGCCTGTTCATCAATAAACGAAATTATTCACATTGAGATGAAGGAATATATCCCGCATACAATAAAAGTTACTAAATCAGGGTCCAAAGACTGGTTCAACAAATCGTGCAACAGTGCTGATCGGCAGAAGATAAACTCACACAGTATCTACTTACAAAGTCCCATTGTAGAGAACAGTCAAGCAGACATTATGTCAAGAAACTAATATAATGAAGTTATTCGCAATGCCATAAACCAGAACCATGTAAAAATCAGGTACAGGGTAATGTCACAGCGCAATGGAAGTCGGCCTGTCTGGATGTTGGCCAAACAGATTGAAAGAAACTTCTCAAAGAGTAGCCTTCCACCGCTTACCTGCCCGAATGGAATGATTGTAACCGACTCACTGGTTAAGACGGAAGTGCCTGCCAAGACCTCTGCTGTCAACTTCGACGCACGAGTGCCGTCGATTCAAAGATCCACTATGGGGGAAGTAATGTTCAGGCGTAAGACTGTGAGACGGGTGCTCTTGTTGCTCACATCAACAACGTTTATTGTCCGGACATGACTCCTGCCATTGTATTGAAGAGGTGTGCAGCGGAGCTTGCTCCAGTTCTTTTGCATCTCTTCCATATATCTCACAAATCCGGCATTTTCCCAGCAAGCTGGAAGTGTGCTCATGTTCATCCCACCCCAAAAAAATCCGAACTTCACAACTACAGGCCTATAGCTCTGCCTTCTGTTATAAGTAAGGTGATGGAGAAGTGCATAGAACGGGAGCTTCTGGAGTACTCCAAGCTTCCATCCTCTGGCTTCCCAGAGAAGCTTTACAGATGAGTGGTTGACTTCCTCTCTAGCCGTAAGATATTCGTCGTAATTGACGGGTGTTCCTTTTCCTCTCACAATGACCATGCTCGATGCTGTTTGGAGGATGGAGGCCCGACTGATGGATAACTCTTCTCTAGCGGACCTTCAACCTCCCATCCTAACTGTCGAACTTCGTACAACCAGAACTGGCCGACACGACCACTATTTTGTCCTTAGGGTATCGAGATTGTAGAACAATCTACCTGATGAGGCTTTTCCCAGTTCTAATAACCTTGGGCAGTTCAAAAATCGGATTAACAAAGTTTTCTTAAGCTCTGCATAGCTGCCTCGGTTCTCTGGTATTTGAACTTCTGCCTACGCGGCTGCTTCCGGGTAAAAAAAGCTTAATAAGACTCTTTCACTGCAAATGGAAATAGCGTCTATGCAAAATTATCTCAGTTCTCGTATCATGCTTTCAATGGACTAATTTCCAAGTCGTCATACGGAAAATGATGCTAGCAGAGCGACCAAAACCGTTTTCCTAATCCGATTCGCAGTCGTTCTAAAAGGCCTCCGCATTCCTCTACACATTCATTCGTCTCGTCGTGTTCTCTTCGGGTATTTTCGGCTAGATTCGGACACAGCCGGCTTTCCCGGGCCTTCCATACCCCCGAAGTCCAGTTGGCCATGGAATTCTGTAGAGCGTGACGTTGCTGTGATTCCCGCTTTTCCGGAGCAACTCACACGCGTTGGTTTGTTGATTTTCATTTGATCAGAGGATTGTTTTAATCTGTGCATAATATGCTAAAAAATATATACGGTTTTTTAGACTGGTGACTTTGAATAGTTTAATGTGGTATATGTCGGAGGAAGTCGGGTGAGTGGCTTGTTTACAAATTTTGTGAATACTAAATTACTTAGACTGCACATGACACTTTAATATGGCCATTGAGTAGTTAAAAAAATTAAAAGAAAGGTATACTCATGCCAGATATTCCCTTTTTAAGCTTGATCTTCATGAAATTTGATTTTTTCAACGTAGATATATTGATGATTATTATAAACTGCATTGTTCTCGTTTTAATAATATATTGTTCGAACATTCTCCCTATGCATCAGATTAGGATGCAGCTATTGTAGCTTGGAATAGAATGACGAGGTGTCCAACTTCGTGGTTCAAATCCATATTCCGCTTATTAAATGTAAAAAATGGTGAACCTGGTACCCGATAGTACATTAATACATCAAATGTACTTTCACCATAATCGCAAAATATGTTAAATCGGATGTCTTGAACGAATATTATCTCTTTCAGGCAACCTCTTTTCGCAATTGATACCTCATCTACGCGACTCTTACTCATTATGATATTTCTTTATGTTATTAATTATACAGAGTATTTTCAAAGCATGGAGCAACAATTTTTAAAACAATTTTGTTATAAAGATGTCAGAAAGATTCTTCTCTAGTTTAAATTCAAGGCTACTTTAATATTTTCCTCATACACCACCGATTTGTCTAGGTACACAAGGATCCAATCTTACTACTTTACTTAGTATCTAATTTTCACCGGAGCTGCGTAGATAGCTTAAGTAAGGGTTTAGAACTGGAAATCACAAGTCAAATCCTTGACCTATCCAACGATCTCCGTATGTTTCAGTTGAACGCCCACGAACTATTCTGAAGTGGCTAGATGTAACTAAGATATCTGTGGTGTACTTGAAAGAACTCGTCAGTCTGCTAAAGCAACTGCTCGTAGGTGGTACTGTCACTTTTATTTTTCGCTTGTTTGATTTTCATCACCTGTCTCCAAATGGCTAAAGTTATACCGTACCGATGATTGCTAAAAAGCATGAAACAATGTTTCACATAATCGGTTATGGTGGCAGAGCTGGAAGGCAAACAGATACTATTCAGCCTGTGCTATTATCAGTAGGTTTTGTATTCCAGCTGGAGGTGCCTAGTCACTTTAAACAGTACTTGAACATTAGAAAGCTCCAAATTTAATTATGCTAATGAGACATATTAGTTTACGATAATGTTGTT